GAATAAAAATCATAGAGATCTTAGTGTCGATTTGACCGAACCAGAGTAGGTCTTTAATTAACTTTGACTGAAATGGAAATCAAAAGAATCTTAGGATCGATTCAATTGAACCAGACAAAAGTCTTGGAATATCTTCAACTGGAATAGGAATCAGAGAGATCTTAGTGTCGATCTGACTAAACCAGAGAAGGTATTTAACTAACTTTAACTGGAATGGTAATCAGAAGAATCTTAGGATCAATTCAACTGAACCAGACAAAAGTCTTGGAATATCATCAACTGGAATAGGAATCAGAAAGATCTTAGTGTCTATCTGACTGAACCATAGAAGGTCTTTAATTAAATTTGACTAGAATGGAAAATAGAAGAATCTTAGGATCGATTCAACTGAACCAAACAAAAGTCTTGGAATATCTTCATCTGGAATACGAATCAGAGAGATCTTAGTGTCGATCTGGCTGAACCAGAGAGGGTCTTTAATTAAATTTGACTGAAATGGAAATCAGAAAAATCTTAGGATCGATTTAATTGAACCAAACAAAAGTCTTGGAATATCTTCCACTGGAATAGGAATCAGAGAGATCTTAGTGTCGATCTGGCTAAACCAGAGAAGGTCTTTCATTAACTTTGACTGGAATGAAAATTAGAAGAATCTTAGGATCGGTTCAACTAAAACAGACAAAAGTCTTGGAATATCTTCAACTGGAATAAGAATCAAAGAGATCTTAGTGTCGATTTGACTGAACCAGAGAAGGTCTTGAATCAACTTTGACTGGAATGGAAATCAGAAGAATCTTAGGATCGATTAACTAAACCAGACAAAAGTCTTGGAGTATATTCAACTGGAATAAGAATCAAAGAGATCTTAGTCTCGATCTGACTGGACCAGAGAAGATCTTTAATTAAATTTGACTGGAATGGAAATCAGAAGAATATTAGGATCAATTCAACTGAACCAGAAGAAAGTCTTGGAATATCTTCAACTGGAATATGAATCAGAGAGATCTTAGTGTAGATCTAACTAAACCAGAGAAGGTATTTAACTAACTTTGAGTGGAATGGAAATCAGAAGAATCTTAGGATCGATTCAACTGAACCAGACAAAACTCTTGGAATATCATCAACTAGAATAGGAATCAGAAATATCTTAGTGTCGATCTGACTGAACTAGAGAAAGTCTTTAATTAACTTTAACTAGAATGGAAATTAGAAGAATCTTAGGATCGATTCAACTGAACCAGACAAAAGTCTTGGAATATCTTCAACTAGAATAGGAATAAGAGATATCTTAATGTCGATCTGACTAAACCAGAGAAGGTACTTAACTAACTTTGACTGGAATGGAAATCAGAAGAATCTTAGGATTGATTCAACTGAACCAGATAAAAGTCTTGGAATATCATCAACTGGAATAGGAATCAGAGAGATCTTAGTGTCGATCTGACTAAACCAGAGAAGGTATTTAACTAACTTTGATAGGAATGGAAATCAGAAAAATCTTAGGATTGATTCAACTGAATCAGACAAAAGTCTTAGTACAAGAAAATTAGTGTTTAACGACACAAAAATTGCGACAGTTATGTGATAACTGTCGTAATTGACATATAGAGACAGTGTTTACGACAATTGACACCAACCGTCCCTAATATTTATTTTGCGATGGTATAATTAACCATCATAATATTATTATTACGACGGTAAAACAACCGTCGGCCCCCACTTAACACTTTTAACATTGATTTTTCACCAACAACTAGTCACGACGGTAAAATTAACCGTCCTAAAAGGCATATCACGACGGTAAAGCACCCGTCGCACCCTTAAACCTTTCACGACGGTAAAATTATCCATCCTAAAATTCATTTCACGACGGTAAAACAACCGTCGCACCCAAAACCTTTAAAAATTCTCATGGGCACGACGGTAAAACACCCGTCGCCGTAAAAAAGTTAAAAAGCTCTTAAAATACATAAAACATCAATTCACTTTCTACTCCTGCGTTCACTTTTTCTACTCACGAAGAAAATACAAGATTTCTCGACCTAAGGTTCGTGTGGGTCTTCCAAAGAAGAACCCTAAAGTTTTGAAACCCGCTTTCACCATTCCTCCCAAACTGTTACAATCCCTTGTAGAAGACCCTAAATGGGATGAAAAAGGCAGCGTCACACAAAACTACAATTCCTTCGGCGTCGTCAATGACCCTAACTCCCTCACCGATTCTCTTCGAGCTCCTCCTTCTGTCTCCGATGACCCCAACGATTCCGGCAGTGACCTCGAAGAAGACGGTATTTTCGTGTATTTTAGTATTAGAAATTGTTTATATTATTTTGAAATGCATGTAAATTTTATGAATTTTGTGGTGTAGATTTGAAATCGGCACTGGGAAAGAGAAGAAATGCATGTAAATTGTTTATATTCGATTCAGCGTCTTTATATTAGTCGTCTAGTTGAGAACATTCATCGGGCAGATGGATCCTGTATAAGTGACCAAATGGAGCTGGAAAAAGAAGTTGTAGAATTCTACAAAAAAGTGACGGGGGAAGATTCAACTGACCTTGAAGGCATTGATACAAATGCAATGAGAGCAAGGGCACAATTAAATAATGATCAGCGAGAACTGTTAATCACTACTGTTACAGAAGAGAAAGTTATCACAACTCTTAAAGGCATTGGTAATGATAAGTCACCTGGTATAGATGGATTTGGGGCTTATTTTTTCAAGAAAGCCCGGTAAATAATCAAAAATGGTGTGATGGAAGCAATCCAAGATTTCTTTACCAATAATAGAATTTACAAGGTTGTGAGTTATTAAGTGGTCGCGTTGATTCCAAAGCATAATGAGGCAAAGGAAATAAAAGAATATCGACTTATAGCTTGCTGCATTACAGTCTACAAATCATTTGAAAGTGATGGCTAATAGATTGAGTAAGGTACTGGGAACAATTGTAGGAGATAATCAAGTTGCCTTTGTAAAGGGGAAAACATACACAATTATATTCTCCTCACCTATGAACTGATTAAGGGGTATGATAGGAGGAATAATACTCTAAGATGTTTGATGTAGATGGACATTCAAAAAGCGTATGATAAGGTAGACTAGAATGCACTGGAATGTATACTGAATGAGGTAGAATGACCAAGACAATTCACAAAATGGATCATGACTGCTGTGACAATCGTTTCATACAGATTCAATGTCAATGGACAATATATTGATATTATGGAAGCTAGGAGGGGACTGAGAGAGTGTGACCCCTTATCACATTTACTCTTCTTAATTGTTATAGAGTGTTTAAATCGATACCTCTACAAAATGCAGAAAGATAGCAACTTCAACTATCACCCAAGTGTGCAAATTTGCAAATTACTAATTTATGCTTCGTCGATGATCTTTTATTGTTTTCAAGAGGAGACGAAGTTTCTGTGAAAATGATGATGAACACTTTCGGCCAGTTTTCTAAATTGATTGGAATGGTTGTAAATCCATAGAAATGTAAGTTATATTCTGCAGGAATTACACCAGAGACTAAGCAGGAAATTGTTTGCATCAAAAATTTTCAAGAGGGGCAGCTACCTTTTAAACATTTTGGTGTACTTGTGACAGGAAAAAAGCTTTCTATATGTTACTATATGCCACTGGTGGATCGGATTGTGAATAAAATTAAGGAAAAAAGCTTTCTATATGTTACTATATGCCACTGGTTTGATCTGTTGTCATGTTAATTTCAATTGAAGATATATTAACATTGTAAAGTGAAAATGTTGCTGTTAGGAGGCTGTTTAATGTTTTATTGTTATTATGGCAGAGAATGATGATGGATATAAAGCTAAATCCTATGCAGCATTCTGTTGCAACTTTAGAGAAATTGTTTATGAGCTATTACATTTACAAGAACAAGAATCCTCTTATTGTTGGAAGATGAAGTACTTTGCATATGAACAAGTGTAGTGCTGTTGAAGATTACAAACTTCCGGTTGTGAGTTGTGATGGTTGATCCATGAATGGGCAAAATGTTGTTACAATGAAGATTTTGGTTGTTTTGACACTTTGGATGTTGCTCGGGTAATATTGTTATAAAATTTTGTTGATGCTTTTTAATTTTGTATGGATTTTTGTTCGGGAAGATTAAGCATTATGGTCTTCTTGCCTGTTGCCAAAACAATGCTTTAGTATATGAAATTATTTTGGATGGAATGGGTTTAAAATTGTGTAGGTAGTTTATTTTTGGGCTATATATCACTTTTGTTGGGGAACATGAATCAATTCTGGTTAAAGTAGCCAGCTTTTGCCAAAAACAGTTAAATAAGATGGCAGTAATTTTGAATGGAATGTGTTTGGAACTGTTAAGGTAATTTATGATCATATACATGTTTGGCTAAACGCATTTTGCTGTCCTTTAACTTAGATGCTTTTCATGTTTGGCTAAATACATTTTGCTGTCCTTTAACTTAGATGCTTGTTATAAGTTAATTTCTAAGTTTGTTTTGGTAACAAATCAGTCTTATGTGCACATCGTTAGCCTTTTAACCACAATATATGTCTCTTAAAGATTTGATGTGGCACGTATGTTCCGTTTTTAACGTATTCTTCGTGGATAATTTTATATTATGAAGTTAGTGTTCACTTATGGAATGAAAGAGTAATGAGAAATTTGATCATTTATGAAAGAGACATATATTAGAAGATAGCCATGATCCAACAATTTTATTGCATGCCTGTACCAATATCATCTTTCTCTTCATATTCTTCTTTCTTCTCTCTTCCACCACCTGTACCACCATCATCTCCCTCTTCTACTTCTTCTTTCTTCTCACTTCATTTTCTTCAATAAAGACTACAAAATTGTGTGAGGATTTACAGAGATCTACGAATCGGAGATTTTCAAGGTAGATGTTGGGTTATGAAAAAAATTTGAAATGATATTAAACACAAATTTCAGGGTTTGTTCTCTTTATCCTTCTATGTTTAGACCTACGAAACTCTGCTAAGATATGTGACGATGGCTAGAGATTTAAGGGTTTGTTATCTTCTTATTCTGATTTTAGGATTTCTGTGTGAGAAATTTTTGCGGTTACCTGGTAAGTTTAAATTGTATAATCTTTCTACACTTTTGTTATTCTTTCCTCTATTTACAATGATGTCAATCTCCTTTAGAATCATAGATAAAATTTAATTTGTTTACTTTGCATATTTGGTTGTTCCATATGAAATTGTTTTGGTAGAGGAAGCAATCGGCAAGACCAGCAAACATGTTGCTGCAGACTCAAAGGGACTTGTAGCTTTGGTTGGTCTTGACTTCACAGCTAAAAATTTTTCCGCATCAAAATAAATAGTGATATTAATTTTTTTTCATTTTTATCATGCAATGCAGCTTTACAGGATTCTTAGTCAGTTTAGTCCTACAGAAGATCTTTGCAGAATAGTGGATCAAAGTCTTATGGATAACTACCCTATATATATTTTGTGAGATAAGTAGTTATGTAAATCATTATAATATGTTTTCTAAGGTTTTTTCTATTCAATGTATACAAGTTATAAGTGTTTTAATACAAGATATAATCTGTTTTTATAAACACTATTTTAAACAAAGATTTCAGTTACAAGTTGGACTGCAAGTTGTAAATGTAGTGATTATGTTTTGTATTTCTTTATTCATGTTTGCAAATTATGTTGATATTTTGTCATTTGATTTAACAATGTTATGTGGTGATAATTTGTTTTCATATATTTTTTTAGTGTTTTTAATTTAAATGTGTTTATTATTATTATATTTTAATTTTCAAAATATCTGTAAAGTTGATCATGAACAAAATTAGAGACTTCTCAATTTCTACGGGCATGAAGATTAGCATCTCTAAAAGTTTCTTAAAGTAAAATTTATTTTGGGGATGTAAATGTCATTAGTAAGTAATTTAAGGTCAAAGTATCTATAAATAATTTAAATTTTTTACATAGTTGAGTTATGAAATTAATTTGTTTACTTTTTCTGCTATGTTGCAGGATCAGATGCAATGTTTGCAGGGTTAGGCCATTTTTCTAAGAAATCAATCAAGGTATTGTAATGCATATAACTTGATATGCAATTCTTGTATATTTGATTGTAATTGAAAATTATTAGTAACAAACAACTTGTGCATCATGCTTGGGTCTGTTGTTTGTAGATTACATTTATTTGCTTGATATATCCGCTTCTTGTGATATGTTATGCGGGCCAGGCTGCATTTATCTCAAAATTTGGAGACTAGTAATTTTAATCATCTTAGTCGATCTGTGTCAAGTAAGTTCATCAAGACCAATATACTTTGAGTACTCCTATGGTATACACAAGATATACCATGTATTATATTCATTTAACAGGCTAATAGTAAAAACTTCCTCTTATAATTATTGCATTTACCCATGCGGTTTCATTCAATCGTGGAGTGTTTGTGAAGATTACTGTTGAATGCTTCCAACTTTGAGATTATTGCTGAAATTATTGTGGTTTGTGGGGTTGGAAAGCATAGAAGTGAAAAAGGGGAATCATCAATTAAAGCATTGGGTCAGAAGATGTTGATGGAGATGAAAAGTCCACTCAGGATTGATAAAAGGAAGATGGATGCTTTGTTGGTAAAGGTAAAGCTGTTAAAATCTGGTTATGTGAATTGAGGAAGCCATGATTTTGCTTCTATATATGATGATAGTGATAAACTTGACTGTATATGTTTGTGTTGCCAATAAATATCTATGTTCCTCAAGCCGAATTCATATATCATTTGTTCATGAAGGTTTTTGCAATCATTTTCTAATTATGTATGTCAACAGCTTACCCTACTTTAGTTCCTTGCTATAGATAAGAGTTGTATATTTGCTTGATTTTTTTATTTTACTATCAACATAGTAATTTCTATGCCATTTCTGAGTACCAATAAATCCAATGTCATATGTGAACTCATTACACTTCCAATTTTTAATAATAGGGGACAATCAAATAATCAGTTGTCAAGAACATGATGAAAGCCCTATACTTTCAGTTCACCGTCGGAGTTCTACCATTATATTTGGTTACATTCACAGGTACTGCCAGTTCATCAGTCATCGTATACATTTGTTCTGAGCTTCATCAACATGTTTTCGATGTTACAAACCTGTTACAAACATGTTATGTTACAAACCAATTCCTTTGTATTTACTTTTACACATAATACGTAGATCTATAACTGGTTTGCTCTATGTTTGAAGTCATTTTGTTTGTAGATGTTGTTTGAAGTAATTTTGTTTGCAAAAAAGCTAACTTTTCTATGTTCGAAGTCATTCATGTCTTGTATCCTAAAATATTTTTGTTTTATTCATAAGGTATATTGTTTGTTTTAGTGGAAGTTGTCAAACAACATCTATGTCGATCGTTTCCAGATCGACATCTTCTTCTGCAGAAAGTGAACAAATAAAGGAAATGCAAGAAGAAATTAATGCACTTAAAGAAAAGAATTCAAAAATTGATGAATTAACACAGGCAATCATATTCTTAACGCAAAGGGACAAGGCGAGGACAAAGGAAATTGAACTCTTAATGCAAATGCAGAATTTTAGTGGAAGACAGGTATATTATTTTTACGCATTTAAAGTTCAATTTTATGAGTATTATTTTAAAGATTATTATTTTAATACCTTTTTTTAGGGATTGGAATCACCCGCTGATGGTAGACGTTCATCTGAGTCTAGCTACCGTATTGGAGATAATGGAACTTCAGGGGGGACAAATTAGACTTTGCTATGATCGAGATAATTAAATTGTGAACTTTCTCATGTATTTTTGGCATAATGATACTTATTATTATAAGATTAGGAATTGATATATTTTGGGTTTTTTGTACTACTTGACATGATTATGGAACTCGCATTTTACATGATTATGGAACACACATTTTTTTGGATATTATAATGCTTATTTGATGTTAAATATTTTTTATTGAAATTATTTTTACTATATTACAAAGTGATAGAAAATAAAACAAAAAATAATACTATAAATAAATATATTAAAGAAAAAAATAACACAAAAAAAAAACTATATTTAAATTTTTTTACATAGATAATAATTTAAATAAAAAATATATATAATAGAAAAATAAAAAAAAAATCAAGACATAAACAAAAGTCATGGCGACAGTACCGAACCGTCGTAATCAACAATTAAAAATAATCAACAAAAGTCATGACGGTATCGAACCGTCGCCATAAACAATTTAATCAATTTCAAAAGATATTCACGACAGTATCGAACCGTCGCCATCAATAATTAAAAGAAACTCAAAAGATAGTCACGACGGTATCAAACAGTCACCAATACTTGATTATGTCAGCTCCAAACCCGTCGTAAACTTGAACGACAGTTTTTGTAACCGTCGCGAAATAAGTTGGGGACACACACTTCTGTGACGGTAAAGCAACCGTCGTGGAAAGAAAATTGCGACGGTTTTAACCGTCGTAATCTACAAAAAATACCTGTCGTAATCTGCCATTTTTCTTGTAGATATCTTCAATTGGAATAGGAATCAGAGAGATTTTAGTGTCGATCTGACTAAACCAGCGAAGGTCTTTAATTAACTTTGACTGGAATGGAAATCAGAATAATCTTAGGATTGATTCAACTGAACCAGACAAAAGTCTTGGAATATCTTCAATTGGAATAGGAATCAGAGAGATTTTAGTGTCGATCTGACTGAACCATAGAAGGTCTTTACTTAAGTTTGAATGGAATGGAAACCATAAGTATCTTAGGATCGATTCAACTGAACCAGACAAAAGTCTTGGAATATCTTCAACTAGAATAAAAATCAGAGAGATCTTAGTGTCGATCTGACTGAACCAGAGAAGGTCTTTAATTAACTTTGACTGGAATGGAAATCAGAAGAATCTTAGGATCGATTTAATTGAACCAGGCAAATATCTTGGAATATCATCAACTAGAATAGGAATCAGAAATATCTTAGTGTCGATCTGACTGAACGAGAGAAGGTCTTGAATCAACTTTGACTGGAATTGAAATTAGAAGAATCTTAGGATCGATTCAACTGAACTAGACAAAAGTCATGGAATATTTTGAAATGGAATATGAATCAGAGAGATCTTAGTGTCGATCTGACTGAAACAGAAAAGGTCTTTAATTAACTTTGACTGGAATGGAAATCAGAAAAATCTTAGGATCGATTCAACTGAACCAGACAAAATTCTTGGAATAACTTCAACTGGAATAGGAATCAGAGAGATCTTAGTGTCGATCTGGCTGAACCAGAGAAGGTCTTTCATTAACTTTGACGGGAATGGAAATCAGAAGAATCTTAGGATCGATTCAACTGAACCAGACAAAAGTCTTGGAATATATTAAACTGGAATAAGAATCAGAGAGATCTTAGTGTCGATCTGACTGAACCAGAGAAGGTATTTAATTAACTTTGTCTGGAATGGAAATCAGAAGAATCTTAGGATCGATTCAACTGAACCGGAAGAAAGTCTTGGAATATCTTCAACTGGAATAGCAATCAGAGAGATCTTAGTGTCGATCTGACTAAACCAGAGAACGTATTTAACTAACTTTGACTTGAATGGAAATCAGAAGAATCTTAGGATCGATTCAACTGAACCAGACAAAAGTCTTGGAATATCATCAACTAGAATAGGAATCAGAAAGATCTTAGTGTCAATCTAACTGAACCAGAGAAGGTCTTTAATTAACTTTAACTAGAATAGAAATTAGAAGAATCTTAGGATCGGTTCGACTGAACCAAACAAAAGTCTTGGAATATCTTCATCTGGAATATGAATCAGAGAGATCTTAGTGTCGATCTGACTGAACTAGAGAAGGTCTTTAATTAACTTTGACTGGAATGGAAATCAGAAAAATCTTAGGATCGATTTAACTGAACCAAACAAAAGTCTTGGAATATCTTCAACTGGAATAGGAATCAGAGAGATCTTAGTGTCGATCTGGCTAAACCAGAGAAGGTCTTTAATTAACTTTGACTGGAATGAAAATCAGAAGAATCTTAGGATCAGTTCAACTAAACCAGACAAAAGTCTTGGAATATCTTCAACTGGAATAAGATTTAGAGAGATCTTAGTGTCGATCTGACTGAACCAGAGAAGGTCTTGAATCAACTTTGACTGGAATGAAAATCAGAAGAATCTTAGGATCGATTTAACTGAACCAGACAAAAGTCTTGGAATATATTCAACTAGAATAAAAATCAGAGAGATCTTAGTGTCGATCTGACTGAACCAGAAAAGGTCTTTAATTAACTTTGATTGGAATGGAAATTAGAAGAATCATTGGATCGATTCAACTCAACTAGAAGAAAGTGTTGGAATATCTTCAACTAGAATAGGAATCAGAGAGATCTTAGTGTCAATCTGACTATACCTGAGAAGGCATTTAACTAACTTTGATTGGAATTGAAGTCAGAAGAATTTTAGGATCGATTCAACTGAACCAGACAAAAGTCTTGGAATATCTTAACCTAGAATAGGAATCAAAGAGATCTTAGTGTCGATCTGACTAAACCAGAGAAGGTATTTAACTAACTTTGACTGGAATGGAAATCAGAAGAATCTTAGGATCGATTCAACTGAACCAGACAAAAGTCTTGGAATATCATCAACTAGAATAGGAATCAGAAAGATCTTAGTGTCAAACTGACTGAACCAGAGAAGGTCTTTAATTAACTTTAACTAGAATAGAAATTAGAAGAATCTTAGGATCGATTCAACTGAACCAAACAAAAGTCTTGGAATATCTTCATCTGGAATATGAATCAGAGAGATCTTAGTGTCGATCTGACTAAACCAGAGAAGGTCTTTAATTAACTTTCACTAGAATGGAAATTAGAAGAATCTTAGGATCGATTCAACTGAACCAGACAAATGTCTTAGAATATCTTGAACTAGAATAAGAATCAGAGAGATCTTAGTGTCGATTTGGCTGAACCAGAGAAGGTCTTTCATTAACTTTGAATGGAATGGAAATCAGTAGAATCTTAGGATCGGTTCAACTAAACTAGACAAAAGTCATGGAATATTTTGAAATGGAATATGAATCAGAGAGATCTTAGTGTCGATCTGACTGAAACAGAAAAGGTCTTTAATTAACTTTGACTGGAATGGAAATCAGAAAAATCTTAGGATCGATTCAACTGAACCAGACAAAATTCTTGGAATATCTTCAACTGGAATAGGAATCAGAGAGATCTTAGTGTCGATCTGGCTGAACCAGAGAAGGTATTTCATTAACTTTGACGGGAATGGAAATCAGAAGAATCTTAGGATCGATTCAACTGAACCAGACAAAAGTCTTGGAATATATTCAACTGGAATAAGAATCAGAGAGATCTTAGTGTCGATCTGACTGAACCAGAGAAGGTCTTTAATTAACTTTGTCTGGAATGGAAATCAGAAGAATCTTAGGATCGATTCAACTGAACCAGAAGAAAGTCTTGGAATATCTTCAACTGGAATAGCAATCAGAGAGATCTTAGTGTTGATCTGACTAAACCAGAGAAGGTATTTAACTAGCTTTGACTGGAATGGAAATAAGAAGAATCTTAGGATCGATTCAACTGAACCAGACAAAAGTCTTGGAATATCATCAACTAGAATAGGAATCAGAAAGATCT